ACTAAAAAGTTTAATATCTACTGAAGTAAGGACCAGAAACTTAATAGTGAAAACCACATGATAGTTATTCTGCACATTGTGAGCTATGCCACATGTGTATATCATCAGCTTACTGAACTATGTATAGTTCATGCTGTCGTGGGTTACCGTTTCAACTAATCATTTTAGATATTCATTGCTTTATTACTCATAGCAAATATTTACTGAGCATCTGGCTCCATGGCAGCTCCCACATTAGGCTTTAGGAGTACAAAAAAGAACAAGATGAAGTTGTTGCCTTCAAGAAGCTCACTTCAAGTAGCAAAAGACATGTGAACAGGCCATCTCTATAGAATGTGATGAGAGCTGTCAGAGGAGAACTGGGATCTATGTGATGTGAGAGTGGGCACTTCATCTGGGCTAGGAAAGCTGTGGAGGGAAGTTTTCCCAAAGGAAGTGGTGTCTGACCTCTGACCTGGAGGATGATTGGGAGCTACCAACTAGGAGAGGGCAAGTACTTCAGCACTGTAGAAACAGTACCTGAGGCACCTTGGTATGAACCTCTTGATTCTTAGTAGACGTATCTGCTGACTTCCGGTAAGGTGTATTGTTTGGGGGCCTCATTCTAATGAGCTTTGAACCTCTGTTCAAGGAAACTCTTCCTTTCACAATATTTTCCCTTCTGCCTCTCTGACTTTATAAGCAGATTATAAAGGTTAAGCAGGGCTACCAGATGTGTGGGACTATGTGGAGCACATTTGACTGACGGGTGGGCAGGGACTCACTGAGAGTCAAACAGGGTCAGTAGAACGTGCTGCTCTGCTTGCTGTGGCATATAGAGATACAGTCCCACTCAATCATTATTCCTGTTAGGTTGGTCTTAGGGGCCACTATTCCAGGAACTTCAATGTCAGTGCAGGTTTGCACAGACCCCAGGAAGCATCCCAGCTAGATGGGCAAATGCTGACACATCGCATGCAATAGGATTGGGCATCCTTGAAGCATGCCTGGAAGGGAACTCAGACCTCAGGAACTCAGTTACAGGAGCAGGTGAATGCAGTAGTCACTTGGTGCTGGGCCCCCAGAACGGGACCAGAGCAACTCTGTACCTCCTTCCTATCTTGATTTGTTCTGAGAAATCACATGAAATGGGATGAAGGAAATTAGGCCAGGGAAAGAGAAATTGTGGTACTTTTCTGATGAGCACCTTCTCCTTCTTTTGTTAACTTCAAGATAAATAAAACACATTTGGCCTAGAAATTATAGGAAGAAATGATATTATTTAATATGTTTCTCCAAAACTAATCTAAACATACAATCACTCAAAATCCCATTGCTTACTTATACTTATTGATCATGCCTCTTCACTACCAGCTCTTCGACTTTTACACTCTACTGGAAACAGTAACAGACAAGCCTGGAACAAAAACCTCTTACGAGAACATTTTTAAGATTTTTACAAATGACTGTGGTTTGCTCCACCTTCTCCCACTTCTCCTAAATCCTGGTTTATGAACAAAAAGGAGCCCAGCACTTTGGAACAAAGGAGCCCAAAGAGCAACAAAGCCAGTCTCCCTCCAACTGCCCCGTAGAATGCCTTGGGGGTGTGAGGGGGGAAACAGTGGCCTCCCCAGGCCCCAAACCTATGTGCCATAGAAACCCTGGCCACAAGGAGAACCAATCCCTCTATTGAAAACATGAATCCTCAAACTAGTTCTAAGCATCCTGAAGGCACTGGTGCTGTTGTGGGGTTTGGGATGTGGGCTTTGGCTGCTTGGCAACCAGCTTAGGGCTCAGCAAACGTCTAACCAAGAAAAAAAACCACGTGATTGGTTCCTCTGTGGGGAGTACAATAGCACCCGTAAAATGATTATAGTTAAACAAACAAACAAACAAAAAAGGCAAAGTAATTCAAAGGGTATATCAGGTCTGCTTCTAATAAAGGCAAAAATCCATCAACTGAGTGGTTTAATTTCTTCTCTGTTGCCCTAACAAACTAGCCATGTAACATTTGCTTCCCACCCTATAAAAAACGCTTCCTCTTTTAATGACAACATTGCATACATTTGATTTTTGAAAGCAGAGCCTGGACTTCACAGAAACGGCAGAGCAGGGTGAAGGATAACGATAGAAGAAATTGGCCCAGTAGACTCAGATTATGGGGACTATTTTCATGTGCCAGGTATTTAAAAGTAAAGGGTTCAAAATAACATATTTTGTCAGCACATGGTTTTTGTGACTAGCTGCTGACCATAATTTTTCCCCATCGCCTGCTTTCCCAAGTTGGTTTCATAGAAGGCTTTATTGTAATCCAGGAGCATTGTTTCCATTAATTTCTATGACAAGGAACCCAAAACACAGGGTGCTGAGAGCAACAAAAACAGAGTTGGGGAAACAGTCATGACTTGGCACAAAGTGTGACAAGCTGTAAAAAAGCGAATGTTTCAATATCTGCAGTGGTGTGGATTTCCTATGAACAACCTTTTCTCTTCTAAACAGTATCATATTCTTTTCAAGCACATTTAGAACGCAAGTCAAGCTGTGTTTTATTTTTTATTATAATAAACACAGTCAGTTTACTGTAACAAAGACATACTAGTGGTGATCAGTTGAAAGCCCAAGTACAACACCATAAGCTGGGCGGGGGCTGGGGTGGGGGCCAGGGGGTGGGGAGTCAACTGATAAAATAAAAGACCAGCCGTCTGGAAAGTTCTCTTAAAAGAGCATAAAAAGGCAGTGTTTTCTTATGAGACCAACACAGAATGCCAAAATATCTACTGGCTTCTTTTTTTGTTGTTATTGTCACTTGTGGCAATTTGTAACTAAAAATGGAAAATCCTTCAAAATATTGGGCTCTCTCATTTGTTTTTGTTTTTAGATCTCCATCATAAAATGAAAAAAAAAAAATTGAACAGTCCTTTAAGTGGTGATCCTTATTCTTGCGCAAAATTCTACCACCTAGAAAATATATTGATTATACTGCTACTCAAGCTGTTTTCTCAAAAATCCTTGTTTAAAATGTTTGCCATGCATGCACTTACATTTTTTGATAAAGGCCAAATGAATAATTCGTTGTAAACAGTTACAAATTGGGTATATGGAAGTTTCATGATTTAAATTACATTTTTGGATTCAAATTTATTAGGGAAAAAATATAATAAATCATCTTACCATATCTTGAACTACTGATTTTTCACACTCAAGTTCATATCTTAATCTTTCTCTGCTATCCATTAACTGAAATAGAGAAGAATATTACATTTTAATTCAAGATAAGAACAGAACATCTGAAATTTCACCTCAGTAGAATTTGGCAAAACATTTTTTGATATGAGAAAAATTCATTCCTGTGTGGTCAAAGGAAAAACTAAATTTGTACAGATCATTATGTTAATGATAATATATTATTATAGGATTATTATATAAGCAAACAAATGTACACAGAAAATGCCAATATTATTTATAACCTTCCTCACCCCACCCTTCTCACAAATGTGAGACCAATACATAATAAAGCAAGTCCTAGTATGTCACAAGAGCAAGTTTGCTTTACTCTTTATATAACCCATTCTCTTAGTTTTTTGTGTTATATTTATGTGATATCAGGCCTATTCATATTGATTGAAAATAGCCACCAAAAGCCCACATACTTCACACTATTGTACCCATGTGACTTGCCTGGTACTTTAAATAATAATTCATTTGTGTGTTTTAAACACTTGTAAAATTAAACCCTTGACCTTGACATCCACTCAATTAATTCATGTACTAATTAGTTTAACAGATACTCCAAGGTCACCATCTTTGTTGTTTCAAGGTTTTTTAGTTTTCCTGGTTTATCCAAGTATCCTCTTAATGGGTCTCTCTGGCTCTACATTTTCCTACCTTCCATTCATTTTCTTCCTGCAACACAAATCTGATCCAATCACAATGTTCAAGGCTCCTCAATGTACTCTGAAGGTAATTTAAACTCTTGGCATGAATAATAATTCTTTCAAATTATGCCTTGACCTTTGTCACCCCTTACTTTTATGGACTCTTCAGCTCTAGCAAACTACACACCCTTCCCTGCTAGAGGCTTCCTCCTTGTGCTTAGGATGAACTTCCCACTCTCCCTCTCTGCTGGCTAACTCTAGCCCCTCTTCTGGGAGTCAGCCCAGTATCTTTCCTCTAGGCTTCCTGGATCTCTGACATGCCTCATTAAGTGCACCCTAGCATGCTCAGAACCCCAACTCCTGGACTGTCTCCTTACTAGAATGAAATTCATGAGACTGGATTGTATTGTGGCCACAGCTGAAGGACAGATACGTCTATCCCTGTTATTAGATTATCGGAATTAAAACACAAACGCTACTGAACTCCACATTGGATAGTGCTTAGCACACGTCAGTGGCAAGAGGTCAGCCTACCCAAATTCAGTTCCACTTTCAATTTTTTTTTTTTTCAATTTGTTTTTAACTTCATTGGGAGGGAGCATGTGGCTTATCCAAAAATTTGAGTTGTCCTTTTTATTTTTCTGTTTCTTACTTATCCCTTCCCTACTCCCTAGTCTTCACCCTCTTTCGTACCCACCACAAATTCTCACCATGTGGTCTCATTTAACTCTTATTTCATTCTCTGGTTATATCAGATTGCAAACAGTTCCATGAACATATCTCACACTATAGGTATTCATACTCTGTAGTCTGGTTTATCTAAGCTCTTCTGACTTCTTACCTTGGAGTGGATCTCCCTCAGAGCAGGAAGTGGGACTACTGTTTGTAAAGCCTTACCTTCCAAATGAAGCCAGGTATCTTTTTTTTCTAGGTACACATTTCTAATATGATCATATCCCACTTCTTTATGTTTTTATCTATCCCCTAGACTGGGCATCCTTCCCAGCTGAGATCATATGTGTCTATACATGCACTTTAATTATTATTTTTTTTTCGCAGTAGCACAGTGTTTAGCACTTAAAAGTACCTAAGAAGCACTGCTGACTTGGTGAAGTATCATGGAAACAAACCAACAAATATCAGTTCTCATGCGTTCAGCAATTCTGATCTGCTTTCTAATGGACAAATCCCTTTCATTACATTATCATATTCTACACACACTAAGCCTGGGAGAAACAGGAAGGAGGGGAGAAGGGACTTGGCTGGCCCAATGGCACATAGTGGCAGAAATGGAACAGTAACCTAGGGTTCTAGAATTTTTCTGCTCAATATCAAAATGTGCCTATATTTCATGTTTGTGTGGAGTTCCAGGACAAAGAAAGAAATAAAGAGGAAAGGATTTATTTAAATGATCAAGCAGGTTAGAAGTGCTATATTTGTCTAAAGTAGAAATGTGAAATAGAAATATAATGTGTCATATACATAATTTTGAATTTTACAGTAGCTTTGTTATAAAGGTTAAAAAAGTAACTTTAACAATGTTCATTTTCCCTGCATATGTAAAATATTATCATTTTAATGTGCAATCAAATTCAAAATTATTTGTCAGCTATTTTTCATTCTTATGTCAAATCCTTGAAACCCATTGTGTATTTTTCATCACTTATCTCAAATTGAGAGTTAAGTTTTTAGATTTTTTTAAATTTTAAAAACTGTGTATATGAAAAAGTAGATTCACATACCCAAGCAATTAAAAATATACCTAAAGAATTTCCCCAATAACTGAAACAAGTATCAGTTATTCAATTTAAATTTAAAATAAACAAAATTTAGATTAAAAATTCAGTTCTTCATGAAAGACCTCTGCAATAAAAATTATAGAGCATTGAAGAAAGAAACTGAAGAAGACACTGGAAGATGAAAAGGCCTCCCATGGTTCATAAATAGGCAGAATTCATATTGTTAAAATGACTATATTACCAAAAAGTGACATAGAGATTCAATGCAATCTCCATCGAATTACCAATGACATTATTCAAAAGACTCGGGGCAAAAGGTTCTAAAATTCATTTGGAAGAATCATAAATCCAGAATAGTCAAAGCAATTCTAAGCAAGAGAAGCAATGTTGGAGATACAATGCCTGACTTAAATTATGCTACAGAGCTATTGTAACAAAAATAGTATGGTACTGATATAAAAACGTAGACCAATGGTACAGAATAGAAGACACAAACACCAGCACACAGATACAGTCATTTAATCCTTGACAAGGGCACCAAAAACATACTTTGGAGACTAGATAGACAAATGATGAGGGGAAAACTGGTTATCCGAATGTAGAAGAATGAGAGTAGATTTAAAACTCTTAGTCTGTAAATCAAAAGTCAATTTAAAATGGAACAAAGACTTAGGAATTAGACCAGAAACTTTGCAACTCCTAAGAGAAAACAGGGTTGGCACTTCAACATATAGGTGCAGACAAAAACTTCTTCAGTAGGGAGCCCTAATTACAATAATATGTATTCCATGCATGAATAATTATATCAAGATGTACTCTACTGTTATGTATAATTGAAAACAACCAGTAAAAAAAAAAACTTCCTCAGTAGGACTCTTGAAACCCAGAAAATAATGCCAAAAATTTAAATGAGAAGGCATCAAATTTAAAAGTTTATGTATAGCAAAGGAAAAAGTAAGAGTATGAAGAGGGAACCTACAGAATGGGAAACATTGTTGAGGTTACTTTTCTGACAGAGGCTTAATATCCAGAATATATAAAGAACTCAGAAAGCTTAATACCAAAAACAATAACAAAAAAAAAATAACTATCAATAAATGGGCAAATGACAAAACAGACATTTCTCAGAAGAAGAAATACAAATAGCTAACAAAAATACTAAAAAGTACTCAATGTATCAGCAATTAGGGAAATGTAAATCAAAATTACAGTAAGATTTCATCTCACTCCAGTGAGAATGGCAATCATTAAGAATACAAATAATAATAAACACTTGAGGATGAGGAGAAACACTTTTACATGGTGGGATTGTAAATTAGTACAAGCACTATGAAAATCAGCATGGACTTTCCTCAAAAAATTAGGAATACAGTCATCATTTGATCCAACTGTACCACTCCTAGGTATTTATACTACAGAATTATGGTCCGCCTACTATAGTGATACACGCATACCCATGTTTATGGCAGCATGATCCACGACAGTCTAGATATATGTCAAAATGGATGAATGGATGAAGAAAATGTGTTATATGTCCACAATGGCATTTTATTCAGTCATAAAGAAGACTGCAGGAGAATAGATGGAACATGAAAGTATTATATTAAGTGAAAGAAGCCCAAATCAGTCAAGGGTCACGAGCTTTCTCTCATATGTAGAAGATAGAAAACAAAAAGGGAAAAGTGGGGAGGAGGGGTGGTGGATCAATTCACATTATTAGAATGAAGACCAGTAGAGGAAGGGGACCCAGGTGAGAGAGTATGGGAGGGAAAGGGGAGGTTTGGGGGAATGAAATTGATCAAATTATACACATATAAATATGTAGCGATGAGGGGCTGGGGTTGTGGCTTCGTGGTAGAGTACTTGCCTAGCTTGTGTGAGTACTGTTCGATTCTTATACATAAACAAATAAATAAAATAGGGCTGGGGATATAGCTCAGTTGGTAGGGTGTTTGCCTCATATTCACAAAAGCCTGGGTTCAAACCCCAGCACCATACAAAAAAATAAATTAATAAAATAAAATAAATAAATAAAATAAAGGTCCATCAACAACTAAAAATTATACATAAAAATGTCATAATGAACCCCACTATTATGTATTATAATGCACCAATAAAAATATAAAAAAGAAAAAAATTCAGTTCTTCAGTTGCACTGGCCATATTTCAAGTGTTCAGTAGCCACATGTGGCCAGTGGCTACCCATGACCACTATAGGTCTCAAAAGCTGAGGCAGCACTTATGATGTATTGAAACTCACACAGGGTGCAACTAGTCACTCAGGGCATGTTTCTTCCTAATTGATGACTTGCCATTGACATTTTTTTGTTTGTTTGTTTTAATTCTTTATTGTACCTCTCAGAGAGTAGGAAGCTTATGGAATTTCTTTTCGATGGTAGTAGTATAGATGAGTTTTAGAAACATTTATAATAAATTGGTGTTCCCTTGTAGGTTAAGTAAAACTAGAAGCAGAGATTTCATTTTTAACCCTAGAAGTCAATGCCAAGAAGGCTGAAGTTGTCTGTTTACAAATTTACAAATTTACCCAGTAAAAAAAAGGAATCTACATCATCACCAGTGCAATGGGGTGAAGCACAAGGAAATAAAATCGTTTTGTAGAATTCAGTAATCAGAGCAATCATTTCCCAACTCTGATCTATCAGGGTAACCATTTCTTTAAAAATTAATTCTCAGATGGGCATCATTACCCTAGGTATAGGATGATTGCACGAACAGTGCATCTCTACACCGAGTACAATCAGAAAATTGAAATGTTGTGCTCTATTTGTGTATGATAAATTAAAATGCATTCTGCTGTCATGTACAACGAAGTAGAACAAATAAAAAAATAAATTAATTTAAAAAAATAGTTCTCAGAAGTGACTTTATATAAAATTAAAGAACATCCCAAATAGCAACATAAGACCTAATTGAAACATGAACCTAAACTTAGGCATATGTGGCCACTGTAATTTTGAAAATGTGGTTGGTGTAATAGAGAAACTGGATTTTTAGTACAATTCACAATACCTAAATTGTGGAGCCAGTTTAGATATTGTGAATTGTAGATGCCCTTCAGTGGATGAGTGGATAAAAAAATGTGACATATATACACAATGAAATTTTACTCAGCAATAAAAGAGAATAAAATCATGGCATTTGCAGATAAATGAATGGCATTGGAGAAGATAATGCTAAGTGAAGTTAGCCAGTCCCCCCAAAACAAATGCTGAATGTTTTCTCTGATATAAGGAGGCTGACTCATAGTAGGGTAGGGAGGGGGAGCATGGAAGGATTAGATGAATTCTAGATAGGGAAGAGGGGTGGGAGGGAAAGGGAGGGGGCAGGGGATTAGCAAGGACGGTGGGATGTGATGGACATCATTATCCAAAGTACATGTATGAAGACACAAATTGGATGTCAGCATACTTTATATAAAACAGAGATATGAAAAACTATATATATATATATATATATATATGTGTGTGTAATTAAAAATTGTATTGCATTCTGCTGTCATTTTTCTTAAATTAATAAAAAAGGAGAGAAACTGGATTTTTAATTTTATCTAATTTTAACTTTAAAATTGATAATTTGGTTCAGTTACTGGAAAATAAATTTATTTGGAATAATCTAGGCATGAGAATCTGCTTTCTCTCCTATATGTTTTTTAGTTGGTTTGTTTGCTTGTTTGTTTAGGGTACTAGGAATTGAACCAGGGGGCTTTACCACAAAGCACTATCCCTACCCCTTTTTGATTTCTATTTTGAGACAGGATCTCTCTAAGTTGGTTAAGGCCTTGCTGAATTGCTGAGGCTGGACTTGAACTTTTGATCCTCCTGTCTCAGCCTGCCAAATTTCTGGGATTACAGACATGTGTTACTATGCTTAGCACCTGTATGGTTTTTTGAACTCTAAATACATCTTCTTCCTGTTAATTCCTCAAAAAGCAGTTTTCAGGGTGCCCTGCACTTGTGCTCAGTCCTAGGAACACAACCAGAGACTGAGCGCAGTCTTTGTCCTCCTGGAGTATGGTGGGGAAGTCTGACCATAACTACAAAGTGTTTTGAGAGCCACATAGGGGAGGTAAAAGACCCAGAGAGCTCAAAGCAGGGGCCCCTGGGTTGTGCATCAAGGACAGGAACTGCTATGGTCCTGCTGCATTAAATGTACTGGGAAATCTTGATTTTCGTGACACCAAAAAGAATTCCCTGCTTTAAATAAAGGTTAACCAGATAACATAAGCCCCATTCATTCATATACTGAAAGTGAACCAATATTGGAATGAAAAATAAGAGTGCTTATTCTTATTTTTTTAGAGAGAATTCTTTTTAATATTTATTTTTTAGTTTTTCGGCGGTCACAACATCTTTGTATGTGGTGCTGAGGATTGAACCCGGGTTGCATGCATGCACGCTACTGCTTGAGCCACATTCCCAGCCCAAGAGTGCTTATTCTTAGTAATGTAATTTCCTTACAACCATGAGCACATCTTTGGACATTCCTGTGTCCTGAAACTTCAGTTCCTTATAATCAACAAAGTTGCTGCCCATTTTACCCCCAATAAAGGGAGCATCCATACACTTGTGCATTTCCAAGACAGAACTCTAATTCACTACTACTCAAAAGAACAAGGAAATACCTAATCAAACGTATACAATGGGAAACATAAGACAACTTTTCTCTGTATCTTAAGATACTCTGAACACATTGTCATTTTGCCAATGGTACTGATATTTCAATTTAAAAGAGTCATTTATCAATGTGAAAATATTACATACCTTTTGAATAGTTCTCTGATCCTGCTCTGAAATCTCTTTGAGATTTATAATTTCATCTTCTGTAAACAAAAGGAGAGAGAGGCCAACCATGAAATTACATGCGTATGCCCTGTATTCAAGCTGCCTGCTTCAGGGCAGGCTGGGAAACCACTGGTGGGCATGGTGGACGCAAGTCCTAGCAGGACTGTGACCTTCACAACTGCCCTTGACATTCACCGCTTTCTTCCTGCTGTTCAGACGGCTGGTCAGATAGGGATTAAGAGGTAAGTTCAAGATCCAAGTGTGGCTGAGAGCTGAAAGCTATTCATCAACACTAGCAGTGGACATTTTGTTGTTAGTCACAGCCAATACAGAATGCTTTAGCAGGTGTCACTTTATAACTCAATAAGAACTACCAAAACCTGAGAAAGTACTACAGAGGAGAAATGGAGTAATGCTGGTATGGCATAACTTTATACTAAAGGAACCCCATACCATATCTCATTTGATCAATATTTTGCTATAAATTTTGTATCCTTGCTCATTACCTCCTTCTTTTCATATCAAAGATTAAGGGCGGCATCATAATCATTAACTTAAGTACAAAGACAATAGTTAAATGAAAAAAGTACTTTGAAGCAATCTAACTTTGATCATGTAAATGCAACTTTTACCAATATTTACAGTAGTAAAAGAAGGGTATAAAGTGTACCCATGAGCATCTGATTTGAATTTGTACAGAAAATTGAAGATAATTGAGTAGTAGCACTTTTTAAAAAGAGCTATTTCTCTACAAAGCATATCTCAATAGGTATACTTAAGTATTCAAACGCTATAGTTCAGATAATCATTTAAGCATGTGAGATAAATCAGTAAAAGTTTCTGTTTATCATATTCCTAAGTGAGGAATATATCAACAAAGTTATAATCAACAAAGTTGCTGCCCATTTTACCCCCAATAAAGGGAGCATCCTTTACATGCTCACCAGAACACTGGTGAGCATGTTATTTGCAAAAGCCAATATGTGGCTTGAAAATAACACCCTGAGGTAATAAGATGGGGCTCAGGATTACAAGAAAGCTTTTCCCCCAAGCCTGGAGTCCTATCTTAAAGCAAAAGCAAAGATGACTATCATGTTGATCTTTTAAATGAAAATAACCAAATGAACGTATGTGTGGGAAGGACAAAAGTGCCCAATTTTTCTCACAAATGATTCCAAAATGTTACCTAGTACTGAATTTTCTTTGATATTGAGTCGAATTTCTTCTTCCAGACCTGCAATCACTTGAAGCAGTCTCTCATTCTCCTGTTTGTACTCTGAGTTTTCCTTTTCAAAGGTTTGTCTTGGAGAGCTGGTCTCTTTGGCAAAGAGGTCCTGAAAGATAGGGAATTCCATATTTCTAAGCAGGGAGCCGAGGATTTAAATATGCAACACGGGGACAATACTGATACAGAAAGAGCTATCATATAATTTTCTGAATTCTATTACACACTTATAATATGAATAGTAAAAAGGAAGGAGACTAAATAGAGCTTGCTGGAAGAAAGGCTGCAGTACATTCTGTACAAAGCCCACAACACATGGGGACATTTTATTGACAGGAATAATGCATATCATACTGTTTGTATGCCCTCATCATTCAGGTCAATTCACTATGGAGGCTGTGTCCGGGGAGGCAGCTGGGGCCCCTCCACCCACACTTCCCTCTGTGTGTCTGAAGTGCTGTCCGCCTGTAACTAGGCAGGCTGGGGAGACCGCGGACGGGCAGCGCCAGGGGGTGGCAAAGTGCAAGGCTAAGGAGGGGGGCTTGTTGCCTTTGTGGCATTTCCCAGTGTCAGCGCTGCCAGTGTCTTGAGGAGCACATCACATGTCAAAGTGGTGACGTTTTCAGGCTGGGAGCCGCATGGAGCCCATCAGGCGCACGGATATCCACGCAGTTGGTTTTCTGCTTGGTGGAGGAGCCACCCAGAGGCAATTCATATTCTGAACATTAACATGGCTTTGCATGCCTGTCACCCGGGGACTGTGCAGGCGTTTAATGCTATTGAAGACTTCGGTTTAAATCTCTATGCAAACAGTGATTACCTTGTAAGAAGGTTTCAGGATAACTTACAACAAAAGACTTTAAAGTTATAGTTTTAGTAAAGCAAACTCATTTACATTTTTATTATGTGCGTCTTTTGTTTAAATCTTGCCATGTCCATTATGGGAGAGGCTTTTTCTTACGCAACAGAAGCTTATTGGGACAGCCACTCTTTTTTTCCCCTCTTCTTCTTGTCTGGTTCAAAGCTATTGAAAACATCTGAATATACTCCCTTATGGTTGTCTAGATTTTACCACCACACATTTAAAAAAAAAATTAAGATGTAATGGATTGGGGAGGCTGATGCAGAATTTAATACTTCATCGGGGCAAAATATTAAATCAGTTACATAATTTCAAAATATTAAACTCATGTTATTATGCTAAAAGAGAAAGAAAAGTCTGCAGACTTTGCTTCAAAATTACTACAGTCTTAAAATAATTTTGAATTTTAAAGTAATCTACAGGTGAATTTCAACCCTTTTACAAAATTAATTCCTTTTAAAAAATTAATAGTAATAAAACATCAGCTCAAAACCAAAATATTCCTTCTAATATACCGGTTTTCTTTTGGAACTCGACTCTTATTTAACTTTAGAGATATCAGGAAGTAAATTACTTAAATGTTTTCCCCTGTATCATAATGGTTCAAAAGAACAATAATGCTTGAAATGTTTTGTAACACATTAATAAACCTTTTAAAAAACCCAGCTTACTAAGTTATGTACTTATATATCAGAGTTAGTGGGATTTAAAATATGCTGAGTTTTGCACTAAAGCTCAATTACAAATATTCAAAGTTTTGATTTACCATTTAATTTAACTTATTTGAGCCCAATTCATGCTTTACAAGTAAATATTACCAAGTCTTGTAGGTAGTTAATAAACAACATGGTGTTCTTAGTGAAGGAAGAGCCCTCCCCAAATAATAAAAGCCACAGCAAGAATCCCAGTCATTAACTTCTTGTCTCACACTGCTCAACTTGAGACCATCACAGAATGTAGTATAGACTAAAAGGATTTTTTAAAAACAAACAGTACTGGCCTTAATAGAGTTAAACATACATTTCCTGATAGTGGTGGATTATGAAGCTCTCCAGTGGACAAGTATCCATTATAATAAACTAAAGGAAAACTATTTGAAGAAATCAAGATGAATTGTAAAATGTACAACTAGTGCAACTAACCCCTAAATGTGTTATCTAGGAATCTCTCTGTATTGAAAGCAAGACCCAAGGAAAACACATTAAATTCAAGGGGTTTTCCTCCACCTATCAGTGTACAACCACCCTCTTTTTTGATGAGGGTAACCTTTAGCTCTGTCCCCACCATCTGTCAGCTGTAGGAACTGCAAGTCATTAACTATTCAGCCGCCCACAGCAATGAGGACACTCATTAGCAAAATGAACAAAGGGACAGTTCTGGGCTGCTATGGTTCTCTGTTGCACTCTTGAGTGGCAGGTTTTGTGGTGATGTTTCTTCCGCCATCTGCCCACATCACCAATTTTGGTTTACTTAAACCACAATGAAATTTTTTTTAAAGTAAATTTCATTAATAAAACAAGGTTAAGATGGATTGTCATCCTTAAAATGTGGTTGATTGGTTGTAGCTATTTTTAAGTCACATTGTACTCTAAGAGAAACTGTGGGTAATCTAGGATCCTTCAGGAGTTTTAAATGTATTAAGAAACTTGCCATTCTCAAGTTTTTACTATCATACTATGGAAACTAGGACTTCAGGTAGTAGTGCATACACTATTTCTCTTGTGAATATTCACAAAATAGACGGAATTCTGGTTTCCAGGTTTCAGAATCCCAAAATGAATCTTGAAAGAATCATTTCTAAAAATAGTTGAAAAAAAATTGAGAACCTTCCTAGCTAGGGAGTGGTCTGCTGAACAGTAGCCCCAGTAGCACCTGAGAACTTTCTGGAAATACAGACTCTCAGGCTCCAGCCCGGCTCTGCTATGTCAGAGTCCGTATCTTAACAACATCTTCAGTGTTTCATATGAACAGTAGAGTCTGGGAAGTCCTGGTTCAGAGCACTTTATGTGACTTCTCAGCAGTTTCCCTTCTGTGATATTGGCATCTCAATTCTTCAGGCTCCATGTACAATACTTGGACATCTCAATTTGATGCTGGGGGAGGAGTAGGGTTCTAATGTATGCCTATGTCTCATTACAGTCACAGAGATGAGCAGGTGCTTCCTCAATGAGTGACAACCAGGAAAGTGGCACACTGGGGCTGCGCAGCCCTGCAGAGCTGCTGGTCTTGATTGACAGCTCTGTTTCAAAGTTGTCAGCAACGAGCAGACATGTTCACCAAGGAAGGGAGGGTGTGTGATGGATCATTGGTATTTGGGTAAGGAAGAAAAATGACAGGTCTGTTCAATGCAGCAACTCTGATTGAAATTAAAATACACATGCAGACACACGCATGCACACACATACTCTGACAGTCTAACTTCCTCTATAATTTCTCTAGGGGATTGATTATTCAAGAGACGGCATGGTCACCTACAGCAGTATGTAGCAAGGTCACACGGGTTTTCCATAGATTAAAAACTGTAAAGTGCTTTCTCCGAATGAAGTTGCTCTCAGAAAAAAATTCTATGTCAAGAATTTTCTCACCTGGAAATGAGGGTTCTATAACTTGAAGAGCTTCCTTTTCTTATTTCCATTTTATTTACAATAGAATTTAAACTGTTTTAAATTTTTTTTTTGTATCAGGTATTGAACCCAAAGGGCTTAAATACTGAGCCACATCTTTTTTCATTTGTTTGTTTTTTTGGTTTTGTTTGTTTGTTTTTGTTTTTGAGACAGGGTCTTGCTAAGTTTCGTAGGGCCTCACAAAGTTGTTGAGGTAACTAGCTGTTTATGGAACTTATCCTTTCCTATTACAGTTTTATCAGATTTCTCTCAGAAACAATCCAGGAGAGAGATTATGACTACAAATTAACTATAAATTACCTATTAACTGTACAACTACTTATGTAATTTATTAGTAAGAACAAACTAGGTAATTCTAGATAATAAAATAAAGCTTGCTTATTTCAGGTCTTTTCAAGTTATTTCCAGTGCTGCTTTGAAAACTTTAATTGTTCCTCCAGATTCTGTGTTCCAAATTGAATTGCACATTAGATTTAGGTGGAGTCTCAAGGGGACTTTTATACCACTAGAGGGGGCAGTTGTATAAGATGAAATTTCAAAGATGGACGATACATCATGTAGAACTTCAGTGGCAAGGAATTTGAGGAAAGTTTGCTCTTAGATTTTAAAAGGTATTGTTCGTATATTCATTTGCTAAAAATTTTGATCTACTTTTGTGGCCTTCAGGTCTAGGTTTTTGAAATGCACACTGGTGTGCTTTGAATTGCCCAGGGTCAGGAGACAGGGCCACACATTTTGTTGAAAGTGATCTATAACCTGACTAATTAGAATTACCCCAACCTCACAAATCTTAGAATGTTTACAAAAATTCTGGTGTGAACTCTTTGGGGGAAAATTATTGTGGAATACCAAGGTTTTCTGGATGCCATTGTGATCCACAGGACAGACTGACTGCACCTGAGGGAGTGCAGGATCCCACATGCTGTTCCTTTGGAGCCACTGTCCAGCCTCATTCTTACCCCAGAACATCTAGACAGACCAGGTAACCTGTTGAAGACAGCATTTAAAGTTGTAAAGATTTCAAGAGTGTAAGGGACTCTTACAGAATTGAGAGATTCTCAATGTCCAGAGGCCTATTGTTCAATACATTTTATAGAACAAAAGCCAGATGCTTATAAGGGTGTAGGTATCTCCCCACACCAACTAGAACTTAGTTTTTAATCTTTCTTTAAAGTGTTAAAATTGTATTAAAATATAAATAGTATTGCAGGTACCCTACCCTAACTCTACCTTAGCTAGGTAGGTATCACCTTGTGTTTCACACATGGGAAATAAATAAACCAGATTTTTTTTTTTTGCCACAGCTAAACTTGATATCTTTGCTCAAGGCAGAATTAAAAGTTATTATAGTTTTTAGTCTTTTTCGTTAAATTATTTTCTCCAAAAAATAAGAATAGATGTAGGCTGATGCAAACGTCAAAGAAAAATAAATGCAGAAATTGGTTTTCTGCTTACTCCAAGGCAAGCAGGAAAAATGCTTCCTCATCTGCAAACTGACCTGTGAGAATGAGATACCATTGATAAAATATCTGGGACCTGCTATAGGTTGAGCTTCCTTGATCTGAAAACCTGAAATGCTACAACTCTGAAAATTTTGAGCACCAACATGATGCCAAAGTGGAAAATTATATACTATGGAGCTTTGTTTCATGCACAAAATTATTTTAAAATATTGTAGAAAATTACCTTCAGGCTATGTGTATGAGGTATACATGAAACATATAGTTTTATCCTTAAGATGTATATACAAATATTTCAAAATCCAAAAAGTCTGAAATCAGAAACACCTCTGGGCTGGTCTCAAGTATTTTGGATAAGGGAGACTCAGTCTGTAGTTTGGTATTCAGTATATTTTTATTTCCCCAGGGTTCTGAAATTTCTGCTGGACTCTCCCAATCAAACAATCGTTAGCTTCTTGCTCTTAGAACCTAATAATAAATCCTTCTCTGACTCTGGGTTATGGCTGGACCTGAGATAACTGATACCTCAGGGCTAACAGGTAATGGAGAACTTATTCTCAGGGTCACACTTTCCAAAGCCCTTAACAATTCTCCTTTTGGACAGGAGTTCAGGATCTCCTTTCTGCTTTCTTACTGTTTCCATTTTTGTTCCTGATCAGTACTTTGTCTAAACAATAAAGCAGCTCCAAACTCCCATTGAGTTAGGGAAAACTGGAGGAGAGGTAATCCTATGAACTCTTCCTTATTAATATTTTTTTTTATTTAAAGGTCATTCTGTTCCAACTTGGCTTCCTGGAAGCCTCTGACTTTGGAAACTTAGCATTGTGTCTTTCCAACTATCTTGACTGCAAAAAAGGGTGGAAGTTTCCAAATTTCCACAGAAATCCACTCATATGCTCTTCTAAAGTGAAAATATTTTTGCAATCAGAGGATCTATGTTATTATTTATATTTTCATTGTAAATAAAAAATTGAGAACAAGTATATTGCTCTTGTTTATAATTTTGTATTTTCTAGGATACGCCATTAAGCAATAAAGTGCTGAACTAGCTTATATTATAGAGAGATGTCCAAGATACATCCATTCAATTTCATTCATCCTTAACCTAAGCTTTTAGTAATCTATGACTTCATTTCTATATATTAAAATTAATCTTTATCTTGAAACTTACAAGTTTTAGAAATCCAGCTTCTTCACAACGTTCTAGTTCTTCTTTCAATTCCCTAATAATTCGTTCTTTCTCTTTCAGCTTTTTTTCCAAAATATTCAGCTTGATATTTGTTGCATCTTGCAAAGCAGCCTTCTCTTCTTCAACATCAAAATATTTCTGGGAAGAAAAAAAGGCACACTATAAATCAGAAACTCAGCTAACACCACTGGAAACCATTTCTTATTTTATTTTAGCTGTTGACTTGTGAAGTGATGTTATTTTAAAAATTTGAACACAATTTGTAGTAACTCTTTTTTTACATTACAGCATATGCTAAAGAATCAGGCGATATAGCATAGCATTTTTCTATAAAACCCAAAGCGTGATGTATTACTCTAACTTTATCAGCCATGCAAATAATGATAGTAAAGAGAAAATGGCAGAATTGGAGCCCCTCCCCACACACAGTGATATCCCCCTCAAAACAACAAGAATTTGGTAGCTATTCATCAACAAAAGCGCTTTGTGGGAGCTTTGTGACCTGGGTAGGATGTTGCACAGCCCTAATGAAGGCCACGATGGAGAAGGCTGTTCTGATAAGACAGGCCTATTTCCAGATGGCAGGTTCACCAACCATGATTCTAGCAACTGACCCAGAAATGGCTTCATCCCTCTGTGGACTTGGCTACAACCTGTTTGGCTTTGGTCCTACCACCAGATCCATATGTCAAGGGATTTCAAGGTTGTCGTGCCTGTCAGTACCTCTGACAGGTCTACTGGACTCAGTTATGGTTATGAACCCTCATTCATCATGAACTTCGAGGAATGGCCCTGTAACTCAGCTAAAGCCTCTCTCACTGTGGCTTGAGAGAAGACTCCCTTTTCCAGGGACCAGCAGTCATGTGATCCATGCCCTTGGAGTTAGGCCACTGACTTCAGTTCCATATCAAATTCTGCAGTGCCCAGTAATTTAGCCCCTTTTAGCTGCCATCTGACAGCAACGGTCTCTCCTACCCAGGGAGGAAAGGCTCATATGTCTCAATCCCATTGACTCTGCAACCCAGCTCCTTCTCAGTCCAGAACCAGATCTGTCCATCCTGAGGTTTAGATCTCCTATTCAAATAGGAGACATACCATACATGCTGCCTGAGGCAGGTTCACTGATCTCAGTGCACTTGCATATTCTTATTTTTTAAAAGTTTTTATTTATTTATTTTTAAATTTTAAGTTGTTATCTATGACTGCAGAATGCACTACAATTCATATTACACATATAGAGGAGCACAATTTTTCTGAATCAACCCTGTGACCTAGCTCCAAACCTACTCAGCCATGGTCTGGGGGCAGTTCTGCCTCCATAAGAACCTGGCAGAAGGCAAGTTCACCTCTGTCCATGGTGTAGGTCTTCAGCCCTCAGTCTAAATTATGGACCATGAAACATCCTTATAATTCAGCTGTAGCTCCTTTCAACTGTAATCCAGGGCCGGTACTACCCAACCAGGAATCCACCCAGCAGGACCCCTTCCAGGGACTTGAAGAGAGACACTCTCATCTCTATACCTGGTAACAAACCTGTCACCCGTGGGACCAACCACAGAACCTAAAGCAAACCCTTCACCCAGCACTACCCAACTAACTGATCAAGGTCCTAGAGGCAGTCAAGTATTCTGAGGGACGAGGAAGAGTCCAAGTCTTCCTGGTAATAAGCCAGCCAACAATGAACCTTACTGAGGACCCAACAGCAGCCACAAGACCTAACTGCAATTCCAGAGGTAATTCCATCACCTTAGGGACTCAAAAGAAAAAGTATTTACCTGCCAAAACCAGTCTATAAAGATTGAAAACACCCATACCAACATAAGGATACATAGATAATGAAGAATCAGATAAACACGACACTACCAACTAATAAAACTCCCTTCACTAAACCTAAAGAAATGGAGATCTACAAATTGCCTAGCAAAGGATCCAAAGTTATCATTTTGAAGAAGATAAATTACACAGAAGTCAATACAGACAAATAAAACTAGGAAAATAAATGCATGAGCCAAATCAGAAGTCTAATATAGAAGGAATCAAAAGAATGAAATAGAAATTCTGAAAACTACAATAACTGAACTTAAAATTACAACCAGAGATCTGGGCTGACTGATCCACGCAGCCCGCCGCCGGCTAAAGACGGTGGGGAGCCGCTGAGAAGCGACCAGCAAGCAGGGCAAAACGTTGCTGCAGATTCTGTGGAATCTTGCCGCCTGAGCACTCACGGAGCCCTGGGCTGAGTTCGGGATGTCAGACGGGGAAGGAAGCGGTACAGTTCTATCCCCCACAACGGAAACTCCACCAAGGAAACCAGCGGCCACCATCTTGGAGAGCTGAAGTAACCACCG